GACACGCCTTAACCCCAGAAACCAAGTAACAGACGAAGGAAGCATTAGAGGCATGTTTGACGTCTAAGCTTGTCCAAAATCAGAAAAGGTAGATCCGCATGGAAACTAACATGGGGACAATAAAGCCTTTTTGTTCCTTGATTCCGTGCTTAAGGATGCTAAAAGTGAACACTGAACATTACGAAACTCGAGAGGATTTGTGACGAGCAAATCTGAATAAGCGGTTTGAGAAGGTCTGTGCTAGTATTGTGTTGCTCTCCGTCAATGCTATCATACATTCGACGAATTCTACAAAAAAATCTATTTCAGAAGTTTCATTGGGAAGCGTTTGACCATTAACTTTATAATCCCTATCTTGCTAATAGTGCTCTTCTTTCCGTCTGAAGGAATTCCTGTCCGAGCACCACAGTTCCAAAGACGAATATATACAGACAGCTGTGACATAATGGCTTTATTCCCATGTGGCAGACTTCTACGGAATGGACTACACAAGCTTATAGCAGAGTACAACAAGTGTTACAATTTCAGTGGTTTTTATGTTGAGAAATTGTTGAAATATTGATGGTCTCTTTTGCAGCAAATTTTTTCGGGGAATTACATTTTGTTTCTTCTTATGGGCAGCGGGAATTTCCTAGAACATCCTTGATTTCTAGATTTTGTTACTTCTCTCCAATTTACACTCGTAAATATTCGTACCTTTCGTGTATTTCTAAAAATAATAACTTACACATTTCTTGAATTAAAAATACTTTCATATTTAATAAATTAAAACTGCAAGACCACAAAATTTTAAATAAATAAATAATAGAGCTAAATTTTGAAATCAGTATTTTTCAAATTCTTTTGTTCTCAGTTAAGCATTAGAAATAATTTCTGATGGAACGAATCATTAAGTTGATGCATAATACTCTCAAAAGTAGAAGGTTTTGCTTTTTAAAGTAAATATCTGTGCATCAGAATTTATTCGAAGGAATATATTAATGAGGTATGTAATATTTATATTAATGTTAATTTTTTTAAGTAGCAGTTGCGTATTTTTAATAACATATTTTATCTTTTACAAATGAAAAACTTATTTAAATAACATTTACAAAATTTTGAAATTACTATTTCTAAGAAGCCGTAAGCAAAATAAAGTATACAAAAGAATGTACCCTATAATTTAATGAATTTACGAAAGGTCAATATACATTATTCTGATCTCTTTTCAATTTAATTTCACGCAAGAAGTGTATAAATTATTTTTATACAAATAAGCGTTATTATACTACTGATGGATTTATTCTCTGAATAAACCTTTGATTTATAAAATAATTCAAAAATGTTTGCTTATGCAAATTTTAACAGCTCGAAATCCCAAGTGTCCGGAAGGCACGGGGAAAAATTATGCAGATTTAACTCAAAGCAATTTTTCTTTAACTTACATGTTTAAATCTATTTTTTCAAATTAAACAAGAAGAAAAAACATTACTTTGTGCGAAATTAAAAAAAAATATATTTAAAATTAATAATATATTTCTAAAAGAAAGTATTTCTAATGAAAAGAAACAAGAATAAATTATGTAAAGAAAAAACCTTTCAGCAATTTGGAGTAAATGACAGAGCGTAACTCAAGATCACAAATATGTAAATTAGTTCATGACAACACAAAAGATTATGATCTGTTTTTCTCACAAAGTAGCTTTTTTTTCTTAGCTTTATTTTTTGTTCTTTTTTTTTCAATTATTTTTTGATACTTTAGAATGACAGTTACTTTTTGAAATGTTAGTTTCAAAAAACATTTGCTTTCTCTACTTGATATGCATATGTTGAATAGACTGGCAAGATTGATTTTATAATCAAGAATTTTGGTAGAGTCAGATCGTTTTACGACATTTTTTGACAGTAAAAATTTCAAAAGAGAGATAATAGGAGATTTATAAGGCTAAGTTTCTTTTGTTACGCATTTTTACTGGCATCACTGGAATAACAGTTTCGTTTTCACTCATTGTTCGTTTTTTATTATTCAAAGCAACCAAGAAATCTAATGTATATTTTTCTGGGTTTATTTGCTTTTTCTAAATAAAAATCATATTATTTATTGATGCATTAAAAAATTTATTCTGATTGGTATTACACTTTAATATTAATTTTAGTATATATTTATATATATATATATATATAATTATACTAATCATAAATATAATTATAATAATTTTTATCTTAGGATAATTATTCTTTATTCAGAAATATCGCATTTATAGCAATAGATGTGTCGTGATAACGACTATTGCTTTTACCATTCTTGTTTCTCTTCAATTTAGTTTTTATTTTATTCATGTTTTTCATATTAATTTGTGTTTATATATATATATATATATGTATATTCCCGTAAAATTTACATTAATTACTAAATGGTACTCTATAGAATACATTTTGCAGTAATATTTAACTAAAACTTTCCTATGTTTCACGATGCAAGAAATATGTAGTTTACTAAATTTACTTTTTGATCATTTTGATTTATCACAAAGTGAGATTTGAGTGTTTTGCATCTATTGTTTTGAGTGTTGTATCTATTGATTTGAGTGTTGTATCTATTGATCGCATCTATTGATTGTATCTATATAGTGTTGTATCTGTATATTTGAGTGTTGTTACTTGAATATTTTGGAATTTAAGTGTCTCAAATTGCATAAATATATCATGTCAATTATCCTAGCGATACAGTTCCAAAATGTCGTAAGGTATATGCAGGTTCAGATTCACATAGCAAATTCTAATTTAATTCACCATTTATTCAATTTAAAATTCTTCTTCAGGTCTAATTTGAAATCGTTTTGATATTTCCTAGAGAAACAAATGTTTCAGACGAAGCACTCAAACGCCGGGACAGTTTTGTCTTTAAACACTGATGGTTTTATGAATAAATTGCAATTTTTATTAAATTCCAATTGCAATATCATATTGAATGGAAAAAAAAATCTTTCGCCTCTTATATGACGCTAATCTTGACTACTCTACCCATGTAATTTATTGCAATTGTTAAATAGTACTATAAGGAATGCATTTTACAGTACATTAAGGAATGCATTTTTTAATGTTAACCTCAAATGTTTCTTGATTTTCTTTCAGTATATGGATTATGTATTGTGGTATGATATTTTTTTTTAATTATTCGATTTGACACATTGTGGCATTTGAACGCTTTAGTATTAAGTATATCATGTCAATTCGTTATTACGACACAATTCGTAATGCCTTAAGGTAAAAACAAGTATATACTTATATTATTGATACCAATTTTTTCCTCAAAAAAGATGATTTCCTCAAAAGTTTCTTGATTTTCTTTCAATGTATGAGTTATGTATTGTGGTATGATATTTTTTATAATTATTTGATTTGACACATTGTGATATTTGAACATTTTAGTATTAAGTATATCATGTCAATTGGTCATTACGACACAATTCGTAATGCCTTAAGGTAAAAACAAGCATATACTTATATTGTTGATACCAATTTTTTTCTCAAAAAAGATGATTTCCTCAAAGGTTTTTTGATTTTCTTTCAGTGTATGGGTTATGTATTGTGGTATGATTTTTTTTTAATTATTTGATTTGACACATTGCGACATTTGAACGTTTTAGTATTAAGTATATCATGTCAATTCGTCATTACGACACAATTCGTAATGCCTTAAGGTAAAAACAAGTATATACTTATATTATTGATACCAATTTATTTCACCACGTATCTTTCCATTGAAAACTCCAGTTGATGCCTAGTTTGAAATTGAAGGCCTGGAGAACCAAGAATATGAGAAACGAAATAAAAGAAATTGCACAATATTAAAGTGATTGGAAAATTGCAAGAAGGGTGAACAATAACATTTTTTTGCTAGAGAAACTTTTTTGCTGTCCCTCGAGAGTTAAGAGAAGAAAAATATATCTATACATGGAAAGAAAAAGAAATTGCGCCTGATATATTTATATAGGACTTGGGAAAAAGACTTTTTTTCGTAACTGGAGGCAATTTTCTTCAAATATTAACCGGTGATTCCGTTTCTTGAGTTTCGAAAGGTGAAGACTAAATTTATCCCGAAGAAGAAAAAAAACTTTAGAATTTCTTTTTGGAGAATGGAAATCGATTCTTTTCATCACGATACTTTAGCTCACTTTACGCAATACTAGTGCTCTGAAATCAGTTCAAAGCAGGTGTGGAGACATATTTTTGGCAATTTAAAAACATAGATTGGTCAAAAAAGTAAAAATTTAAAGAAAATTTATTTTATTTTACGGAGTTTCATATTAAAAATAAATACATTGTTTTTAGTCTTAAGCCATATGTTTAACTCTTTTTCTTCATTAAAATCATCAAAGAAAATAAAACAACCGTCTGTTTAAAAAATAATTTGAGATTTTGCGAATTGAGTTTCAAAAATAATATAATAGAAAGATGCGTATATTAAAATATGTTTTATAACTTAAAAATATCATTAATATATTAATAACAATTAATAATTAGTCATGAGTCTTTCCGGAGTTTTCAGAAAGTTACATTAAAAAAAAATAGACTAATACAGTAAAGCAAACATTGTAATAAATAAGGACACTATTTAAGTTTCATTGACAGTCCTTACAGTTGGTCTTCATGCGACTCTTTTGTACCCCGACGTACAAGTCCAGCCAGACTCCATGACTCAATTCAAGCTTGTACTATCAAAGTTATTAAAAGCATGTGATATCTTTTCATGTGACCCTTTTTCTTTTAGAGCCGTATAAAAGATGTAAGCCACATTTTCGTTACATGGAGAGGAAAACCTCCCATTGTAAACCTGCAAGGGGACCTTAACCCATGGACTACCACTGAGGATTTTTTACGTCAGCGGAAATCATAGTGACCAGCCATTGCTGGGTTTCGAACCCGAGTCACCTCATTCACCCTTGCTACTATTTAAATATTATTCAGTCTCTTAAATTGTTTGTATTACTTTCAATTAATTCTACTTTTTATTTCAGAATTTTAAAAATCTTGGTGCTGCTCCTGAATGGGTAGACGCAAATAAAATGTTAAGTGATATGAGGGAAGAAGTAGAAACTATGATGAGCTGGAAAGCTGATGCCATAACGGTACGAATTTCAAATTATTTTTCCTTTAAAAATCTCTCTTTTTTTCTTAACCATAAGAAAAGCTTAACTTTGGCCATTTTGTGTTTTAATCCATTAATTCCAAATTCATAATTTTTTTTAAAAGTTTGCATATTGAAATATAATGTTTTAGAATCAACAGGTGTATCATTAAAAAATATCTGGTATGATTATTTTTAAAGTCAAAAAACTCAAAAATTTAGAAATTCCAAAAACTTTTTAAAATTTAAATTTGTTAGGTATAGATTCCCAGAAAAAAAGGTTTTCTCACTAATGCATTTTTTTCTCTAAATTCAAATCGATGTATTAATTAATGAATAAACATTTACGCTTCTCTTTTCGAACTTGCGAAACACTTTTTTTTCCAACCATACTTAAAATTTAAAAAAAGGCCTCAATGTTATTAAATACGAGTACATCGTATTCGCTAAATATGAGTACATCGTATCATTCATTAACTTTATAACCCATACAAAAATTTTTTAGACTTATTCATTGCACCGTGTCAACAGGTTACTTAGAATGCATAATACGATTCTTCTCTGTTGCAGTACAACCGATTTTAATTCGCGTAACAAATATAACATTCCACTCAACTCATAAATTTCTTAAAAATTAATACTTAAAATTTTTCGCCAAATAAAAATTTTTCGCCAAATTTTTGTCGAAAGAAAACAATTTCTTTCAGCTTTTTTCACCCTCCTAAAAAGAAACACATTTTTACATCAATGCAGTCAAACCAATCACTAAACTCTGTTGCAAGTTAAGAAAAAAATCATTATACCTATGGGGAGAGCCTGATTTTATCTAAGTGCACGCCAATTGGATGCCAAGCTGACAGCACAAACATTGATCAACATCGTCAACTCTTGAAACGACGTAGCATAGCCTTCTTTTTGCTTGCTTTCTTAAATCGTGTGAAATGGGGAAAATAAAACTTATTGAATAATCAATTTACAAGTAATAAGAATTAATAAAAATGATATCTAAAATCGCAAAAAATATACGTCTTTATGTTAGCATTTAAAAAAAATTGATGAAAGAACAATAAGTATTGTTTCTTTTGCAAAAGATTTTCTCATAAAGCGAAACAAAAGTAAAAATTCTCTATCTCGCATTTGATTTGCTAAGGGAATGTCAGCATAATACGCGCTTTTTTAAGTAGTCTAATCAAATTTAGTGCTCTTGCAACGTCATATAATTGTGTAAAAAAATAATTTTAAAAAACTGAATGTTCTTTTTTATCGAAATATGTCACCGAGTGTAGGATTCCAGTAAAACTACGAAACTGTAACTTTTCTTTAGTAACTCTATGATATATATCGTAAAAGATAGCATGAATTAAATTTCTGTCTGATGTATTTAACTTTTCAAAACTTTTATATTATTTTGAAAGCATATTTGTATAATTTGATAATAAAATAAATCGGAACAATATGCAGTCGCGGAAGGTTACTTAAATCCTTTACCGCAATAGTCTTTTCTTAACTTGCAACGGAGTATAATAATAAGACCAATCTCTCAAATAGTTTGATAAAGTCACCAGCAAATGTTTACTATTTGAGCAAATATAATGAGTTTAAAGCTTTTATTTTGTTCTTGAGAGAACAGTATTCATAATAAAGCTTTCCTCAAGTCCAAATTTTTACTTTATAATACATGAATGAAAAACATCTATCGCATAGTCGAAAAATATTTCTACGGTGCTTATGAGAGACTAAATAAAGCTGAGATGAGAAGAAACGAATTAAAGTTCAAATCTATATAGGGTAAAGCAACCAGTGAAGGAACACTACCCAGTGAAGGAACATTTCATATATATTGATTAAAAATAAGAATTTGAAAGTTTTTCTTTCGATTAATTGGTAACAATAGCTTACTGCAAAACGATAGGAAGTCACTTAGCAATGTTTTGGATTACCTGGTCAAATAGACTTCTCTGGAAAAATTTTTGAATTTGTTATTATCTCTGCAACACCTTGTTTCTTTGAAAAAATTATAAGGTGAGTGTTTGCATGTATATGTTTGAAGTGGAATTACTTGCATGCAATCGATTTATTTTTCTCACTGTTAAAAAGAGAATTCAAAATATAGTTATTGAAGTTACGCTTTATTTTTTTAAAAGCATCATAGCATAATAAAGTACTGAGATAAGGGGGTATTTATTCACTGGATCACCAAACGATGAAAAACCAGTGAAGGAACAAGTGTTCATTTACTGTTTTTTCCTCTAAGTTAATGAAAATAAAAGATAAACTTTAATTTTCTTGTACCTTTAGTGATGTTCCGCATCAAAAGTATGTTGAAAATACGAAAAACAACTTCTAACCAGTAGGGGAACAGGCATGTTCCTTTACTGGGCATAGATTTCCCAGTGAATGAATAGTATGTGTTAATATGTTGACATTTTAATTTTCAATTCATGATTACAAAAAAAAAGTTAACATTTTCCAAGTATTTATATGTTATAATTTCAAGAATAGGCTTGTTTTTAAATATTTGTATGGCTTAAAAATTCATAAAGAGCATTAAAAAATAACCAAAATTAAGTGTTCCTTTACTGGGTGTTCATTCACTGGTAAAAGCTGTTCCTTCACTGGGTCTTCTTACTACTCGTTATTTGAACCTCCAAAACTTTAAAACAATATTATGTAAGTCCTCTAAATTTTTTTTACATAATTTGCAATTAGTAACAAATATGTTGACACTGTCATTTAACTAAAATTACGAATTTTGAAATTAATATGATTCTTTAAAAGGCAAGCGAAGCTTAAGTGTTCCTTCACAGGTTAGTTTACCCTATCTCTATTATTTTTGGAACACATCCAGAAAAATGTTTTAAATAACAAAATGTGCAAGTTTTCAATGAAATTTATTTCGCATTCCAAATTTTTATAAAGCTTACTCATATTATCTGAAGAATCAGTTCATATTATATTTTTTATAGTTTTGAGTAAGTGTGTAAATTGTATTCATAGTCTTTAAATATTCAATCAGTTTGCCTAATATTGTGAATTTGTTTTTGTAGAGAATACGGGATGCAGCAGAAATTGCAGTCATGGGACATAACTATGAGCCAGAAATTAAAGTAAGTATGGTTTTATGAATTAAAATTTAATTATTATTTACGCTTCAAAATAATTGATCCACCTCGGTGCTATTAGATTACTAAGTGATTATATTTAATTACTAAGTGATCTTCTTATCATTAGAAAAATAAGTTTTAGAATATTTTTTTATGTATTTAATTTTAAAAAACTAAAATTATAAAGACAATGAAAAAACAAATCAATATGATTTATTCTCCAGAAAATCTGAAATAAAAAATATGTTAAATATCTTAAGTTATTTAGTCCACATATACCTATATTTTAAAGATATCTTCAGATCATACTTTGAAGATTTTCTTCAGATTATATTTTGAAGATTTTCTTCAGATTATTTTTTGAAGATTTTCTTCAGATTACATTTTGAAGATTTTCTTCAGATTCTATTCTGAAGATTTTCTTCAGATTCTATTCTTAAGAATATCTTAAGTTATTTGGCCCACGTAAACCTAAATCTTAAGTTTATATTCTGAAGATTTTCTTAAGATTATTTTCTGAAGATTTTCTTCAGAAAATATTCTTAAGAAAATCGTAAGAATGAGTGGGCCAATTAATTTAAGATATTCTTAAGAATTTTTTTAAGAAATTCTTAAGATTCTTTTCAGTGGGGTTGGAGTAAAATTAAGATACCTGTTAAAAATCATTTCTGTTTCGATTCTTGTATCAAAAGATCTATCATCTTCTGAGATCTAGATCTTCTCTAGGTCTAAGACTGAATATTTACGGAGTTCAACATTGAAAGATAAAGATGGGTTGCAACAGCTGTTTTAAATAACACTTTGTGACGGTTACAATATAAAACCATATACTACACAAAATGAAACAGTCCATGTCCTAGTAATCTTGGAATATTTCGTATAAATGGGTTATATAAAACAAATATTTCTCCATACTTCTTTTCCAATGCTTGACTCATAAGGTCAACTTTCATTTGAGTTAGGTCAAAACAAGGTGGATCATAACAGCTGTTTTAAGATAGGTCGTAGTATCTGTTTTAAAATGACACCTTGTAACTGTTACGGTAAAGAACCATATCAGTTACAAAAGAAAATGTTTAGGTTTAGTAACCATGAAATTATTTCATGTTAGAAAGAAGACCATAGCAGATGCAGATAAGTGTCTAGTCTCAGATTAATAGATAAAACCATTCTAATACTGCATTTTCCATTGGACTTCTTTCCACATGATATTAGGCCTGTTCCAAGTGGTTATACTTAAAATGAAGGTCAGGGGAAAGATTTTATGTCCATTAAATAACGATTGGATAGCCATCTGCTGCATCTTGGGGATAACTAAGTTCTGACAAATCAATGTGGAAAATTAGTTTTATTGAGTGAAAAAGTTTTTATTGAGTGAATTCAAAGGAAAGCGTTTTTTGTCTACCTTTAATTTAAGATGTCATTTCTTCATCTGTAAGAAAAAATAATCATAATCAAAAATCTATTCCCTATAAAAAAAAATCAATTTCTTTACCTTTCATTGAAAATTCTATTTTATTAACTGAATAAAGTTAGTGTTTCTTAAGTTATAATTATTTGAATTTTTTAAAACAATTACTTTAAAACGTAACTAATTTTTTACCACCGGTTTTTTAAAATAATCATTTAAATACATTATTTAAACTATTGCTCGGAGAGTATCATTATTATCATCATTATCAATTAGGTATTCGTAATTTGAATATTCCTTCTAAGCTCTGGAAACAGTGAAGAGTAAGGTAAAATAATACAGTACATATTTCAAACTAGTAGAAAGAAAGTATTTATCATTACTAACTTAACTATAAATTATCTTATCGTTTTAAGTCAACTAAAAACGTCATTTTATTTATCATTCTCATAGCTATATGCAGTGATATTAATATAGTTTTCAAACACGTTCTTTTGAACAACAAAATAAATTGTTTACGGAAACTAGACTAAATTCATAATTATACATTTTTGTAATTTATTAAACTAGACAAATTCTTAAAATATGCAAATGTAATATTAAATTTCTCTAAGTTTTTAAACCAACTTTGCACAGAGTGATGTCTTGTGTAAAATTTATTTAATTTTGTATATAATGATGGATACTTTATAACAGCCATTATTTAATAAATTCAGAATTGTTGAAAGCATATGCTGTCTATATAGGCACGGTTTATTCAGTTAATGATTTCTAATAGCATGTGCTGAAAAATATTCATAAATTTTAAAATCTGTAAAAAAAAATAATTATTGTTAAATAATATTTAATTTAGTTTTATTTATGGCATGTGCTGGATAAAACTCATATACTGTGTACTGGGTTATATTTAATCATGATTAATGAAGATATCTATCTTACAGAAATGACAACCCACTTGCTAAAACAAAATATTGCTTTTAAGAGTCATATTTAGAGTGTTTTAAGTCTGAAACTAAACTTTTATTGAAGAACCGTGTGATTTGGAAGTGCAAAATTGTAATGGCTGGTTAAATAATTTTTATTATGAGCTTAACTTCTTAAAAGTATTATTTTTTTTCCATTTAGCTGGACTACATTAATGCAAAATCACCCTTTGTAAAAGAAGGCAAAGAATACAAGCCTATAGAGTTTTATTCGCATAGAAATTTTGATGATGTTCCAATTAATACAAAATATAGTGTTGTCCATGTACCTACAAATGTATTTGATCAATGTAAGTATGCCTTAAAAAAGTTTTAGTCTATTCAAAAGTTTTTTTTTGTGTTTTTATCTCCGTATGAAATCAGTTTTTATATGTTTGGAGGAAAAAAAATTAGCTTGAAATGAAAAGTCTAACAGATTGCTCTAACGTATAGTATTGCATGGTTGCCTAATACTTATGGTACTATATCAGACATCATTTTCTATTAGACATTATTCAAATATTATGTTGTATGTTACGAATTTTCTTTATTATTACTAAAATTGATCTCAGGGTATTCTTTAATGACAGTACTTTATCAGTATTTTAAGAATTCCTTTAAAAAATGTAAGGGAAAATATTTACATTAGGGAACACAAATTGATATATCAACGAGAGTAATAAATAGAAATCTTATCAAAGTCTAATAAACCATTTATGAGGAAGCTGGAATAAAAACATCGAAATCTGTTTGACTGCTAGATCAAACGCAGAGGAATTAAAAAACATTTCTTAAGAAATAATGAGGAAAATAATAAAATAATGAAGAAATAATAAAGAAAATTTCGGATATATAACCTTATTTTTTCCAGACATTTAATAAAAAATTAAACCATTAAATTAAACAATTAATAAGCCATTTAATAAACCATTTATGAGGAAACCGGAATAAAACATCTAAAACGGCTTGATTGGTGGATCAGAGTTTGATGTCAGATATAATACCATGACACCATAATACCGTCATATAATATCATGATGCCTGATATAATACCATAATAAGGATTAATGGATCAAACACAGAGGAATTAAAAAAAAGTCGCCTAAGACTTTCTTGCGGCAGAAGAAAATGTTATTTTAGGAAAAATATTTTCAAAATATTATTTATTATTTCCAGATGATATAAAAACAGAACTTTTATACATGCGGGAAATATGAGAAAAATTTTATTTTTACTCCACCCGATTAGAATCTGAATGACAAAGCTATTTGTCTACGGTCCAACATTCTGCATGATTGGTTTGAAGAACCTTCTAGAAAATTCTAGCGATAGATTTGGCTATGCAAATTGACCAACATGATTCCTATCAAATGCTTCTGAGTCTGTCTATTCTTGTCTGTAGAAAACTCTGTTGCAAAAAATTCAGTTATCGCAACACGTTTGCTATTATGGATGGCCATCGAGTCTGTCCAGATACGTGGAGTCAATGCCACTTCAAGTTGCTGTGCTTCGCCTAACAAGAAAAGATCGTCAAACAGAAAAACAGAAGGGATCTCGCGATTATCGAGATTTATAATATATATATATATATATATATATATATATGTTTATATATGTTTATATAGAATCCTTTAAATGTATAAGAAGTAGAAATATAGGGACTTGAAAAAACAAATTAATATTTGAGTGAGAAAAAAAAAATGTTTTATAACTCTGATTATTTATTAGACTGTGACTATATAAAGGTATAAAGGAGAATTTAAAACAGACAAAAACCAGTACATTTGTCTAGTGATATTAAAATGGGTTCATCTCCTAAAGTTCCATCCCTTATATGTTCTTAATCATGATTGTTTCAAGATTTAATTACTTTTTAACTTCTAATTTAATAACTGCATAATGCAATTAATATAGAATACTCTGTTTTTGCAAAATTCTATTACATTTATGTGTTTATCGTTTTTTTTCTTCTTAAAAAATTAAAGAAAAACGTATTGAGAAATAAATAATATAACTATTAATTTCATAATATTAAACTTTTAATTTTAAAATAAGAAAATAACTTTACACTATATCCAGAAATATAGCAAAATTTGGCTATTTATGATATTCATTGTCCCTGACAATCTCTTGTTTTGTTCCTGATAGAATTTATATTAAGGAGAATGAATTCTTTTTTTTTACCTATAAATACTTAAAAGAAATACTTAATTTTGTCAATTAGTAAAAAACCACATTAGTATTTTAATTTTTTTCAAGTTTTCAAAAAAAATATGAGATTAAGTTATAGTAGTACACTATAAATGGAATAAAAATATACTATTTAACCATCACAATTATAAATTTTAAAACTATCTGAGAAATATCTTGGGTTATGAAAATTTCAGATTTTGCAATTTTGCTTTCAAAAATAGCTACTCTCTTGAAACTGTAATGGAATTAAACATAATTTAAATTGTCAATACAACTTAAAATAATCAAGGTTGAGCTATTGTCCATTTATTATTATAACTAAGTACGTGTTTTGATGAATCATTAGTCATGTGAAAATGTTTGAATCAATAACTTTAAATCTTTGTTTTTTTATTTTAAATAAATATTTAAATATATTTTTCTAATGAAGTTTGGAGAAAAAAAGATTTGAGTTGAAAATAACTTTCTTTTTAATTTGTTTTTATTATTAATTTAAATGACTTATTCAAATCAAATATAATAGATTTTAAACTAGTCTTGAAGAGAGCTTTTGTGAGACACAATGATATATTAACGATGCATGAAATCATTACATTCTCCTTATGTAGGCCCTTCGTGTACCTTTCATTTTCTTTGTTCCTGAAGGCGCTCATATTTATATTAACTGAACTAGCCTTTTTTATGCCCTTTTTTAGATAAGCATATAAAGAAATATTTATTTAAACCATGAAAGGAAAAATATATTAATATTTAAAAGTATTTTTTTCAGCATTTTAATTAAACACTATAATTAATATTAATTTTAGAATATAATTGAAGATATTCTACGCTCTAAACGGTATAAAAAATATACTATTTACATACCGTGATTATTAGAGCAAAAATCTGTAAAAAATATACAGCATCAGATAAAAAAATATCTATTACTGTTTTGTTTTCAAAAATAATTATTCTTTTAAAAATACAATTCAAATTAAACATAATTAAGTTGTCAACCCAAGCTTAAAATGTTCACGGTCGAGGTAGTATTCATTTATCATTACAATTAAAGATGGTTTTTCAAGAATTTATAGCCTTTAGGGAATTTTTGAATCAATAGCTTTAGATCTTTGTTTCTTATTCAAAATGAGAATTTAAATGCATTTTTCTAATGAAATTGAAGAAAAAAGGGTTTGGAAGGAAAATACTTTTCTTTTAGACTCTCTTTTTTCATTAATTTAAATGACTTGTGCGAAATAAAACTTTTAGATTTAAAGCTGGTTTTGAAGAGTGCTTTTGTCATCAAAAGTTAATTTATTTTTCAAAAAAGAATTCCCATACAGTTTGGAAGTTTTCATGAAAAGTTTTTTTATCCTTCTTCAAATTGCACGAAACATTTTTTTAAAAAATAAAGCGTGAATTACTCTAAAGAATAAGAAATCTTATTTGTTCTCAAAATTAAACCTCAGGATTTGACACCTTAAAATTTATTAAATATATTTTATTGAATTGAAAGAAATCCTTCGGTTCACTTATCCTTTTATAAAATTTTTCCCTTTTTTTAGAAATGCTTAGTTCGATAAAATAAAAACTCTATCTGTCGCATTTTTACTTTGTTCAAGAAATATAAAATCACAGCAAAAATTAACATTAACGAAATAATAAAACCAATCTATGAATATTTTATTTCATTTAGCATTTGGCTTTTTATAAAGGAAAAAATTCAACATACATGGAGAATACTACAGTAAAATTACCTTACCGTATTGTAATGATATTTCTAGTAGAAAAAAATTTCTAGTAGTATTAACGATAATTCTGGTAATAAAAATCAAAATATACGATTTTTAAAAAATTCTTTCTGTATTTTTTCCCATTCATAAGGTAACAATTTATCAGAAATTTCAGTCATCAAAACTATAGTTCTTATTGCCACACTTTAAGTAAATAATAAAAACCAAGAAAATTAACGGTATGGTTTTTATATCATGATTTAATGTATCATAATAAAATAGAAAAATTTTGCTTCAGCAAAAATTATCGAACTTTTTGGTGTTCCCATAGAGCCAAAAAACACGGTAATTTTTACCATATTCTGTTAGGATTGAATATAGATTTTGTCTCAGTGTGCGTTATAATTCGTTCAGAAAGGATGAGTGCTATTTGTCCAATACTAAACTTTATATATTTTATTTACAAATACTTTTTTTATAAGAAACAATTACAGAAATCTATGTTTTAATTTCATTATCCTGAAACATTAAGTTCATAAATATAAAATATTGGCGAATAGTAGTAATGTGGCAAATTTTTTGTCACAAAAAGTACTAATTATAATATATATTATCAATAATATATATTATCAATAATAAGTTATTACTATTATAATAAATGATAATTTCAATACGATTAGCGCAGTGACTTAATGCATCGCTCGCTCAACTGGTAAAGATTGCATGTTTGCACGAGAAAATTCGGCCATTAAATCACCGCTCCGTTTTCAATTTTGATCACTGTGCAGGATGATCAAAATAAAAACGTTCCTGGTAGTATACTTTAAAAATATTTGCTGGGCTAGTTCTAACTTGCCCACCCTATGAATGGTTGACCGAATGTAAACAATAAAAAACTTTCTAAAATCGGAAGACATTTTGAAGGTGTATCCCTCAGCTTATGTTATGCTTACGAAGCGATGTGTGAACAAGCTAAATATTCCAGGACGTTTTATTGTGATTTGTGCTTAAATTTACACGTAATTTTACCATTTATAAGAGTTTTCTGTAATTAATAAATTCTAACACATCGTGAACCTAAAACAAACTTAACAAAATTAATATTTCAGCTTAAATAAAGTGTAAAGTTTGCTATGTTTTGAGTGTTCTCCCTTATTTGGCTATATTTGTGTAAAATAGTGCCGTTTGCTATATTTTGGGTAGCATCATATCCAGCTTGCGAAGTCTTCCGAATTCATTTGTTGCTTGTTTCCATGTAAGTTAAATTGAAAGAAAGCGTTATATTGAAACCACTACAAGTATGATAATATTGGATGGCGCGTTTTTTCAAGCTTAGGCATAAAAATCAGTCTGAAGTAGAAACTCGGAAATCCTAATTTAAATTTTGACCTCCAGCGCCATCTGCGCTTGGCATCCATAGTGGATACACTTGCTTCATAACTTTGAATTGTTATAATAAACCAGATTGCGAGATATATGATCTATCGATACGTTGGCAAAAATTCCATTCGATTTTTAAACTAATAATGATAAATCCTCTATTTTTTTTAACTAATACAGTACTGACCAGACCATTATAATAATTCGATTTCTTTTCTCTGATTTTAAGTTTGCAATGACAATGGCCATAATATCCATATATTTTGTTTATATTTTCTATTTAGCTTCAGAAGTACTGAATGCCATCAAATGGACAGAAAGTTTATATCACACATTTCTAAATAACCTAAATAGAGATTCATCACTAATATATCAGTTTTTTGGTAGTGCAACTGGTTTCCTGCGGCTCTTCCCAGGTAAAAATTAATTATTGTTTGAAGTTTTAAAATAAGGTGATATTTTTATATGTAGATTTTTAAAACCCTTTTATATAAATATAATAAAAATATTCTTTTTTTAAGCTATAAAATGGAGAACTCCGCATAGTGGCCCAGACATGTATGATTGTAGAATGCGACCCTGGTAAGAAAAAAAATCAGAAATTTTATACTATTTTTTTCAGATTTATTTACACCGAATGAAGAGTAAGTTTTTTCTCAAATTTTTAAAAATTATCTGCAAATCCATAGTGTTTTTAATATACATTTCTATCATAAATATAACGAAAAAATATAAGTTGAAAAACGAATATAAATAAAATAATAAATCCGAAATCGTAACACTTTATACAATTATATATATTTTTTAGTAGTAAATGGAACGAATAAAGAGAAATTAAAATTTTTCAGACAAATCATAAATAAATGATTGCCAGTTACGTTTACGCAAGCAAAAATTAAAAAAATAAGCCCTTACAATTTTCCAATATGTGTTATGACCAAGCATAGAAAACTTTTTATTTTAAGGAACTTCATTAATGAACTTTCATAAATTTTGACGGGTGATCCCTTATTTTATAATACAATAATTATTGCTTGTACTGGTAGTTTTTTCAATCGTCCCCATCTTATCGGTATTTTAGCAATTTTGATCACACTAAATGAATCATAATTCACACCGTAAAAATCATGAGCCAATTTTTAAAAGCAAAATTCCAGACTTTGAAACTAATAAGTTCAAAGTTAGTTTCAGTCAAATAAGAACTATTCTTGAAGATTTAGCCTATTTGCAACAATTTTTACACGTCGTTATCCAAACGCTAACCTATTTGTCTTTACCTATTACCCCTTAACCTAACCTTTTTTTCTTAGCAGATGTCCCAAAATGACTGATGATTTGAAAAATTTATTAAAAAAAAAACTGTAGGAAATCAAAATTTACCATTCTCTACTCTCTGCCTAAAAAACTAGAGATTTGTTCTTAACAAGTTTAAAGATTTAGAACAAAGTTCTACAGATAATTATAAAATATCGGTCTATATAAAGACTGAGATAATTATAAAATATCGGTCTATATAAAGACTGAGATAATTATAAAATATCATTTTTAAAATACCACCATTTTCAATTTGATGTAGTCTGAAACCACAATTAATCGAAGCTCTTGTAAATGAATTAATAGAAATGGTCTGGCACATAGAAAGAGACATTGTTTTATAGTTTTTCTCAGTTAGTAGTGCAATTTTCTGCCAAATTGTGTGATTCATTTAGAAACTTTGAGAAATAATTCTTAATTCACTGAGTAGAACGCAGCGATGGTATATAGTATCTATTTCCTTATGTTTTTTAATTGATTTTTCAAATCATTTTTGTCTATTTTCATTTTTTTTCTCAATTATTTATTAGAATTGCAGATCATTTTTTGAGCCACCGTAAATTAAAACGAACAGAAACTGATAAGATTACTTTTTAATTCTGAATAATAATAAGTCTTGCATGAAGCTCTAGAAAATTTAATTTTTCCAGAGGCAATGATTCATAAGGGAGCTTAAATCTAAAATTATCAGACATTGATATAATTTTTTATTAAGTTTAAATAACAATTTTATTTTATTTTAAAAAATTTCTGAAACTCTTTATAAAGTTTGCGAAAAACTCAATAATATAATTGAAGAATTACTGATTCGAAACAATTTTACATTTTATTTGCTTTTTATTAGAAAAGAATTTTAAAATCCAACAATATCAATCTTAAAAAAAGACCTTAAATTGAAATTATATGCTTTGTATAGAAAAAAAGAGCTTTACAATAATAGACAAATTATGATGTCTAAGAAAAAAAACATTAGAAAAATGGATCAACATAACTTACCAATTTTTCACTTGACAGAATCTTTCTTACTTTCGTCTTCTTAAACTTTTCTTCACGATAATTACTATTTGATAGTTTTGTTGATAGTTTAGAACTTTTAGTTTTTCCTATTTCCTTTCAAGAAATTATTATACTGGTCTTTAAATTAAGGATAGTTAAATGGTTTTTATAAAAATAAAATCCAAAAATATCAGGTTTTTATTAGATTTCTGAGTTTAGTGTATAGGGTAAATTGAAAATAAAAAGGAATAAAAAATAAGACTTTAAAGAAATATGCGAAAGTTCATACAGAGTAGGTTATTACTTTTCAAGTAATGACATTAAAAATTTCGCTGCTACTTTATAATAATTTTGTGCATACAGATATAATATTTCGGCATTATTGGATGCATTTTTATCAGTTTTAAAGCTTCGATTGGTACAAAATAAAGGTATTGTAGAAGATATAAAGAATATACTAAAGATATCACACTTAAGAATATTGGAAATATTCATAAACTAACGTTAGCGTATGAATCTTAAAATAAATAGTGAAAAGTTACATCAGGTTTCAAAAGTTGAGTTCAAAACATAAAGTTCAAATGCAAAGTTTAAAACTTGAAAAGCAGCAGTTTTGTCTCGTGTATATTAAGATTTATTTACGAAGTACACAAATCTTAAAATTATTATCATTTATTGTTTATTGTATGCATATGAATTTAAATTGAATAAGAAAAGTCATGGAAAAATCAAACACAGACAACTCAAACACAAACAAACACAATTTGCAAAACTCAAAACTTAAAAGGCAGCAGTTTTGTCTTTTTTATATTTAGAGCTTTATGGAAGTAAACGAATCTTAATAGATTCTTATTATTATTATCCTCGTTTACTGCTATATGTATGCATATTAATTGAACTATTAGTTATAAAATGCCATAAAAAATTAAAGATAGAACATGCAAGTCTCAAAACTTATAAAACAACACTTTTGTCTCTTTTTTATTTGCAGCTTTTTTGGAAAAGTTCGAATCTTAATAGATTCTTGATAGATAATATTATTATCATCGTTTATTACTATATGTGTGCATATTAATCTAAAAATAAATGATGAATTGTCCTAGAAAAATCAAAAGTAGATTTTGTAATGCTCAAAACTTGAAAAGCAACTGTTTTGCCGCTTTCATATTTGGTACTTCTTAAAAATATATGAATCTTAATAGATTCTCATTATCATCATTTATTGATACATGTATGCATATTTATCTAAAAATTCGTAATGAGATGTCAAAGAAAAGAATCAAAAATAGCAGATTTTATGAAGCTTAAAACTCCAAAATTAAATATTTTTCACCTTTGTTTTTGTGTCAATTGGGGAAATAATATTATATTATTTCAAAATTGTTCAAAATACCTTTTCTATAGTTTTTCTCAATAATAATATATTTAAATTTCCTCAGATTAAAATACATTTCAGAAATAAACCCGACATAAAAAGATTTTTAAACGTGATTTTTAAATACCCATCGATCCAACTATGAAATTATATAAATCCTAAAACTATTTGAAACCATTTAATTCAAATAAAAACACGAGAGGAGATTAAACCTACTCTTGAAATTTATTTCGATTTAGCCCGAAGTATTGTGCTCTAAACATAATTTTATTTCCCCATTTATCGAAAATTTATTTCGAAGTCCTTTATGATTAAAATTCAAGCTCTATCATGACATCTAATCAAATTCCCTTTCTTAAGCTTCTTTTGATCTTCGGATAATGTAGTTTAGAATATTTTTCTTCTTTGATTATTTAATGATAAAATAGAATTCCCATTTATAAAGGGAAAAAAAATTGGGATTCATAAACCGCAAAAATTCCCTAAAAAGGGCGCTGTAAAAAGTTCGAACATGTCTTGATGGTTATTTCTATTTTATTTCTGCCCGAGATCTCAGAATATTGGAGAATTATCGGTTTCTCCTAAACCTGTCGTCCGCTCGGGAGAAGAATGGTTAGCGGTTTAACTCCTGCGAATTCATCCCGCTTTATTCTTCGTCCACCCCCAACCAATTCATCCTCGTTCCTAAAATGATCAATATGGAAACATTTTGTCATTGTGACATACAGTCAGCTGCTAGGATATCTAAAAGGCGAACAGGAAACATTGAAAGAGAACTGACTTTACTCTTTTATGCTCTACCTGCTTGTATGATATGGGTTTTCAAAATCATTTTAAGATTCATATTTAATATTTAATTCCTGAGAATTCATCCTGCTTTTTTCTTCATCAAACCCCTACAAATTCATTCTCGTGATTTTGACTCTTAAACCTTTAAATTTATTGGTGGTGCAGTGTGATTTTTCCTGTAAATGCCTTGATCTAAAAATTAAGCAAAACATATTTTTAAATTATTTCAAATGTCTTGAAATACTAATTAAAAGCGGAATTAAAACGCGTGAGGTGGTGTGAGTTGAATTGCGTAGAATTGAAAGATATTATCTGACTTGAAATAATAAAAAATAAGTAAAAGCGGAATTAAAACATGTGAGGCGGTGTGAGTTAATTTGCATTGAATTGAAATATGTTATCTGACTTGAAATAATAAAAAATAATTAAAAGCGGAATTAAAGCACGTGAGGTGGGGGGAGTCGATTTACAATGACTTGAAATATCATATCTGACTTAAATGTAGAGTTTAATACCAGCATGAATCAATTATAACACGCTAACTGTTTTATATTATCTAGGTAAACTTATCAAATGGTGCTACATTATCTATAATTTTTTGTTTTAGATAAAACATAATGCTATTGATATTGTGTATAAATTTAGACTCATATTGAATAGTAAAGAATAGAAAATCAAAAATGAAGTAATTATACACAAATAACTTATAAGAAATGTTATACAGAGATTTGTTCTTTATAATTCCATTTTTGTGATTTTGTCGTGCATTTATCATAATGTTTTGTTTAAAATTGTTTGATTTCTTAAGCGGTTATTAAAAACATAAGGGCTCTAAAAATTTCTTTATGAAAACTATTTCATTACAAAACGTGATTTAATGCAAATTATGCTTAATGGTATAAACGTAAATATGAAAGTACTTTGAAATAATCAAAAGATAATGAAAATGAAAGAGTGATTGCAAACAAATTAAATATGACACCTATAATGTGGTTTAAATGTGACACCTATCATATATTTTTCAGAAAACAATTACTGATCCACCAATTCATAACTTCCTGTTAACATTATTCATAGACTCATATTGAACAGTAAAGAAAAAAAAAAC